TTTTTTTTGTATTTCCATCTCACATCTTTATTGTTTCTGTCACAAAAGTTCATAAGGTGATTTTCCTTGATTTTTGCTCGAATAGGAATGCACGAATAGAAAAGGGTTAAACAATGCATTCCGATATCTTTGTTGAAGCCTACGCTTAGATTGAAATGGTTTAGGGCTATGGTGTACGTCTCTTCATTCAACTCAACCCGTGACACCTCGACCGGCTCGATGACTGGCGACTCACCGGTTAGCGAAGCGTCCAGGCGGTCAACCCCACGTGGAAGCAGCTCAGCAAGCAGTATAAGCACAGCACACAGTGGAGCGAGTAGCAGCGGTAGCTCAAGCTCAAGTGATTACGGCGAAGATCAGGACCATGATCGGTGGGTTACGGTATCAAGACTGTTTTTATAGAGTGAAACTAGAGGTAATGGGACTTCAGAATGGCAGATGTCGCCGACGTTACTGGTGTTCCATTGCGACAACACTCCAAATCGCGTAGCCGTCGGTTAGCACGAACAAATGGTGTTAGCAATGGAACGACAATCTCGTCCTGTGTACCCAACACTGCTCCACAAATGCCAGTAACTGCTGCAGTTACGGCTGAGCACTAAGTGTTTGTCAGAGTTTTCTTCACACGAGGTTTCCTCGATGATCTCACGATAATGGCGCCTCTCTATCTCCTGTTCAAATCACTGTGATATAACCGTGAAAAGTTCATCGTGTATGGTCTACTGTACCTAGAGCACATTCCGGAGTCCTCCACCATAATCTCTCATCCAAATAAAAACAAATCGTCTGCCCTGCTCTCTGTCTCTCTTTCTATCAGCAGTCTCAGTAGATAATTTCTATTCTGTTTAGGGCTAAGTTTCTATGTAATGATAGCAGTAGTACCTTTTAGAGTTCTGTGTTTCTTTCCTTCTTTTTCTCTTCTTTTCTTTTTTAGATGAATATCATAGAAATGCGGTTGCGTCATTGACTTTATGTGAACATTCTTAAACCGCCAGGTTTAACTCGTCTCAGTGTTCGGCAGCCGGCCAAAAAAAGTTCAAAAAATTCGTGATAACAAAAAATAGATGTAAAAAAACCTTTTTTTT